TTTTCTCACGTACTTAGGATGTGTTATCAGGAGGGACCAGTCCCTGGAGAAGTACAGTGTGCTTGGTAAAATAGAGGGTCAGTGAGATGGATTGACACAGTGACTGCAGTGACTGTGAGGATGGCTCAGGACTGGGCAGTGTTTCGTTCTGTTATGCACAGTGTCGCTATAAGTCAGAGCAAACTCAATGGTATCTAACAACAACAACAACCTGATTTGTACCTGGCCCTGAACTACTTCTTAAGTTTTTTTTTTTTCTCATTTATCTTCTTCACTCACTGTCTGGATTGTAATTGAGAGCTGAAACAGGCTTGTAAAAGGCTTGTAACTGTAAGGGTTTGAGAGACCGAAAAACTGTACTGGAGGCATGCTCAGAGATGTGAGAGTTTTATTCCAAAGGGCAGGGGGCGCTTATGAGAAGAGCGACATCGCATCCAGAGGCAGCAAGCTGGTCAGTTTCTAAGTCTGCTAAAGCATTTTCTTTTTCCAGAGGTATTTATACCTCTGTTTGAGGAACTATCAAATAGGGGCTATGTACCAGGTATCAGGCTATGTGCCAGGTGTCAGGTACAGTGATGCCCAATCCTGCTAGGGAATCTAGGGCAAGGTCTGGTGGCATATAAGATGCTGCTGTTAACTAAGGAATGTGGCCCTCAAGGGAAAAAGGGAGGTAGTAGGAATTACTGCATTGTTTGGCACTTGGCCAAACAAAATGGGTCTGGGAGCTGTTTGGGGGAGCTATATAGCCATGCCTAGTACGCTCACTAAGGGATTAAGACCATGGACTCTGGAGCCGGATTGTTTCAGTCCTGGCTCTGCCATTGACTGTGTGCCCTTGGAAAAGTTACTTTACCTCTCTGTGTCTCAGTTTTACCCTCTGCAAAGAGGAGGTGATAATTCTCTGCTAGGATTGTTATGAAGATTCACTCAGTTAATACATATAAAGCATTTAGCACAGTGCCAGGAATGATGCAAGTGTTTGCTAATTAAGTGTTCCTTCTACACCCTGGGCTTTCCCACTGCCACACCTTTGCATGCTCCGGTTCTGCTGTCTGGAGGCCCTCCCACCCCCTGTCCACCTGTCTAAAGCTCTTCCCCATCTTTAAAGCCCAGCCAGTGCTGCTTCCTCTGTGAAACCCTCCTCGATCTCCCAACCTGACATGGTCTTTCCAACCTCTACACCTTGTTTTCCCTGGGACATCTCAAAAGATGGTTATTGCTATATCTACCACAATTTTTTTTGTAAGTTTATAGAAGGCCAGCTCAGTAGCTTATTCATTTCTCTGTCCATCGCTGCTCTTTGGATGGGAGGTAGGGTAGTGTAGGGCTTAAGAGTGTGCTATTAGAAGTCAAATAAATTTATTTTTTGGGTGGTAAAAATATACATAAAGATATGCCAGTCCAACAATTTCTGCATGTATAATTCAGTGACATTGATTACATTCTTCAGGTTGTACATTCTTGCTACCCTTTTCCAAATTATTCCATAACCATTAACATAATCTCAGCATCCCCTGAGGAAAATCAAAGGGATTTAGAGTTGAACCCTGGCTGTGCCACTTACTAGCTGTGAGACCCTGGTCAAGTTATTCTATTTCCTGTGCCTCTGTTTCTCCACATGTCAAATCAGTGTCATAAGACCTTCCTCCTGAGGCTGTCATCAGGCTTAGCTGAGGTAGTGCTTGAGGAGTATGTTGGCTGGCACCAGGTGGCTGTCTGGAAGTGGCAGCCATCACTATAAAGCAGATCTATGCCCATTGCAAAATTCGCCAGTTATGAACCACACTGAAGTGAGGAAGAGAGAGAGCTTTATTCTTTAGCACTCTAAAGGAGACAGGTATTCAACTCAGATTCTGTCTGTCCTCTAGAAGCGGCTTGCTGTTTTTATGGTTGTTGAGCCAATAAGGTGATGTTACTACAAGTTTAGATACATGCTAAACACACACAAGCATTGCAAACATGTATAGATGCAAAAAGTTACATCTTACTATCATATAAGCTTGTTTCATTATCATACTAACATCACCCCGGGGTGTGATTTTTCATGCTAATGTACCTTTTACCTATTTGTGCAGACCCTTGCTCAAGCCTAAAAGCTAATCTATAGCAAACAGAAATTGCATCTTTTTTTTTTCTCTCTTTCTTTTATTTATTTATTTATTTATTTAGGATTTGGGTGAAGATTTACAGAGTAAATTCACTTTTCATACAGCAGTTCACATATACTTTGTCTCATGTCATTGACCA